CATCCCACTGGGGAGGGGGAGAGTGAGTGAACAGCTGTGTGATGTTTAGCTGCCTGTCGGGTTAAACCACAAGTCCTTTTTGGTGTCCAGCATGGGGCATGAAGGGTTCAAGATAACGACAGATCTGACCAGAGCATGTTAAAGCAAATTTGCGATAAGCGTTCATTATATTAGTTTAATAGGCACTGGTCGCAATGTTGATTCATTTGCTCTCGGAGCTGTTGTGCTTGTTCTCAGAGTTGTGCTGTGTAACACCTTACTTGCTGTGTGCATTCCCTGTGGTGCTGTTTATCACCTCTGGGAGCTGGATTAAAGTTATCGCTTTGCTGTACTGTGTAATGCTGGTTTATGGTATGATAAAATTATTGGTCATGAGATTGTACTCAGTACTGCTGTCATTCCTGTACTTTGGGAGCTTCGGGCGCTATTTCTCAGAAACTATTAATAATTACACTTTTCACCTCTTCTCCTCGGAGAACCAGTCTATTGGGGAGACAGAGTGGGATACTTTCCCCGGCTCCTTCATCATCCCTTTCTCCTTCGGGCTAGTTACAACAGCTCTTGAGAATTTTGAATATCCTTGGGATATTCAAACCAGCATCCTCCTACTGCTATGTCTCCTGCATGCGATTCCAGCTGAAATATGGTATCCCAGATGAAACCAGGACACATCCCCCCAGTCATACTGTTGTAAAACTGCTCTTCAGGAGAGTAACAGCTAAAAGTAAGAAGAGCTCTTGGTCATCTGGGAGGGTCTGTACACAATTCTTGACAGACTCACAGAGGGGTTGTGCTATGTCTTGGTCTGAGAAAGACTTGGAAACTTGTGAAATGTGGTGGTTATGTATATCTTTGTTAGAAGAGGCGCTAAGTGTCTGAAACTTAAATAGCTAAAATCTTTATCTAGGGAAAAAAGGTTGATCTACGCAAGACCTCTGGTTTTGGGCAACTGAAATCCCAGGACTCGTGACATGGGATACAAAACAAAAACGTGAAAAAATTCAATTACTTTACAAATACAAGACTGACTTTTGATTCCATTTCTTTTGGAAATGCAATGAAAGTATTGTGATCTAGAGCACATAGGTGTGGGAGACAGCCATGAACAGTATCTATCTTATAATTTCCACCTTTTTATTAGGTTGCCACTAATGGGTTTATTGCAGTGAATGAACCTTCAACTGAAGAAAAATATCTTGGTCAATTCCCAGTCAGTTTTGGGGCTATTGCTCCTTTTATGGCTGACCTGGACACAACAGATGGACGTGGAAATGTGTATTACAGAGAAGATTCATCCTCAGATGTCTTGCAACTTGCATCAGACTATATCAAAAGAGGTTTTCCTGAGACTACTTTTGATCCCAGCAGTGTTGTCATTGTTACCTGGAAGCTCGTGGCTCCTTACCAAGCACCAGGAGAAGATCATGCTTTGGAAGAAAAGGTGAATATTAATCAGAGCTTTAAGACATGTTGGACACATGTTCAGCTGAAGTGTAACGCTGTAAGCTGTTGTTTTGAAGGCTTGAATTCCTTTGTGTTTAAATGAATGCTGTACAGTTAAGAATGTGTTTTGTTGTTAAAAAGGCTGTAGCAAAATAGGAGTTTCCAGAATTTTTACTTGATTTTTATTTTGCAGTACTTTATTCATTGAAAGAAAATGCTTGAATCTACGTAGCTGATTTCTTTGTATTCCCTGACATCTTTCACTTTGAATGTTAAGTGTTATGTGGTAATAACTGGAATAGTAGGATATTCTGCCCTCCATCTGTGCAATATAAACCAGTTGGCTTGCATTTTTCAACAGACTCTTAAGTCGTTTTGACATTAAACTATCTAAAATCTGATATGTATATAGACTAATAGGAACTTCAGACTGTGAAGCCCTTTTGGACAGATGACATTACATGCAGAAAGAGGTCATACTTTGTAGCTAGTATTGAATGAAGAAGCAGTTCGAGGTTATTTTTTGTATTACTTGCAACCCATTTTCCTTTTTTAAACAATGTTAGGTACTATGCAGCAAAGATACGTAAATTTATGCACCATAATTATCCCAGCTGATGAGCCTGCTCACAATATATAAAGCTGAGAACATTACCACAACTTGTCAAATCTTGTGCCTAACTTGACACAACCATTGTGTTCACAGTAATGATTCTGCATTCTGGTAGCAATGAATAGCTGATGTCTGAGGTACTGTCTTGATGGTTCCTACAGCATGTAGGAGTGTGCCTATGGGAAAAGACACTTGCAGCAGCATGAAACTTGAACTCTTCTTTAAATATTGTTTACAGAATTTTTCTATTTAGTCTGGAACATCACTCTATATTAAGGAAATGATACAGCATCCTATGCATGTTACAGAACTTAGAATTGTTACATTTTAGGCAGCCTCTCTGGCTATTTCATAACAGATTAACTTACCTTTCATAATGCTTTCTTTTTAGTGCTTACAAATGCTAAAGCTAAAACTGCCTTAGTGAAACATAAGCTGGTGTAATATTGACTTCTTCTAGGAAGTGCATGATGCTTTGGAAATTCTGATTTTGACTTTGTGTTTAAAAAAATGTTATTATGTTGTCCATCTTGATTATTTTTCCATGAGTAAAGGGATGTTAAATTTTTTTTCCACAGAGAAACACATTCCAGGCTGTTTTAGCCTCTTCTGAGTCCAGTTCCTATGCTATTTTCCTTTATCCAGAAGATAGTTTGCAGTTCTATAGTACATACACCAAGAACGATGACGGAATGATTCCTGCTATGGTTGGCTTTAGTCAAGCCTCTACAAACTACTACTTTTGGGAAAAGCCAGGATCCTACAATGTCATTGCTAATGATGAAGACAGCATTAGAAACCTGCACAAGTACGCTTTTTTCTTTGTTTAAACTCATCAAGAAAACATCAGGGAGTTCTATGTTTTTCTTAATTGTAGCATGAGTCAATGAGAAATAATAAGATCCCACTAGCCATTGCATGAGAAATCACAAAGTCTGCTGCTGATAAATATCCACCCTCTTGAGGAATGCGACGACTTTGGTCTAATTTGTCAAAAGTCCATAGTTCCATTGTCACTCAAAGGAGCTGCTGTATACTTAGCCCTTCTAAAAATAGGACCATTTAAGTCTTTAACTTTTTATAGTCTATCGTGGGCAGTCTTTTTTTGAAAGAAAAAGTGAACAAGAAGGAAAGGGAATGAGTTAGAAGGTTCTAGTAAGTGTTAGCAAGATCTTTGTGGCCCAAATATTTCCTTCTGTTCCCATCACTTTGGAGACAAGAAGGCTAGAAATACTCAAGAAGAGAGGTCTGGGTGTGGAGGAAAAAAAAAGCTATCCAAACTGTCAGGGGTGTTTTATAGCGGAATAAACTGTACCTGTAGATAAGTATGTAGATAAGATAATTCAACAGTTTTGTCCTGATATTTCTCAGTGAAGGATAACATTTTGTGTAGGCTGGAAATACCACACAACTTGTGCTTGATCATTTTGATTTGGCATATGCTTTTCTTTGATAGAAGCAGCAATGCTGGAAAACAAGGTGTCTGGGTGTTCGAGATTGGTAGCTCATCTGACAGTGTTGTGCCTGCCAAGATCAGCAACATTTCCGAGAGCCTAGAGTCCAATGAACAAGACCAGGAGATGACTTCAAAATCATTTATGTCAGACTATGGCTCCACTGAAATAAGACAGCAGTATGTCACCAGTAGTACAGACAACACAGAAGAGGATCAGCACCACGTTACATATAGTGTTCCTCAGCTAGCTGCAGAAGACTTTCTGACTTCATACCAAGATGTAACAGGAACACCTTTGACTGAGTCTTTTAACAGTCATCAAGATTTTCCAACAGCAAAAGCTCCACCTCGCCAGTTCCAGGTCCAGCAGTTCCCCCCACAGCAACCCCAAGTCATAGATGTAGAAGAATTTGATGAAACTGGTATAGGTAAGGTCTTTTGTACAGGTTGGGTACTTCTAAGATGGATAGGCTGCAAAAAACAGAGGTGTGCAAGAGATTGAACTACTAAAGGAATAATCTGTTTCCTTCTCACTACCTTCGTGTCTGAAAATCTGGACACAATAAGTTTGTTTTATTCATTGAGGTAGTTAACTTGGATGTCACCTCAGATTCGGATCTCGCCAGTCAAGTAAACTAGTGCCCTAGTCAGGCTCACAGGAGAGCGCATTTACAGTGTGTCTGTGGAACCTGAATCACTCCTAAGGAAAGCTTCCTATAGGCATACTTGTATTCCTAAAGGTGATGTATACTTAGCACCAACTGATTTCCCCTTCTCTTTTGCCCAGGACTGTTGTTAAAGGTATGATCTTAAGTTTAATAGCTGCATTAAGTGGCTGTTCCTGGTAAGGATTTTATGATCAGTTCTACTGAAACCTAGCTCATTTCCTTTCATAGATGTGTTATTGAATACGGGTGATTTAACAAAGGTTGGGAATAGTAACTGTTGTAAAAACTGTTGGTTAGGGTTTCACAGCCTTAAGTTTTACAAGGGCCCACCCTTAGCTGTTCTGAGGAAGTGTTTGTAGAAAGTTCAGAACAGTGTGACTGACTGCCCAGATGTTAATTGTTTCTTGAAGCAGATGTGAGAATTGCTATCTCCATGAAATAATAGGCTAAGCCAATTAGGATTACAGGGTGCATCAGTTGGTGCGTGGTCCTGGGTACCATACTGATGTGTTTCCTTCCAAAGTTGGAAAGGCTCCTTTTTGCTTTGGTTTGGAAACAAGGACAGGTTAAAATTATTGCATATTTAGTTTTGCCAAGACAGTTTAACTGATCTTTATTAATATAGATCTGCTGAAGTCAATAGAATTAAACAGTTTCCTAACATCTGAAGCCCTGATGTTTTCTGCAAAAGAGTACACTGTAACTTGCATATTGCAAGGTTAGCAAAAATCAATTGCAATTGTTTTCATCCTCTCTTTAAGGAAAACAAAAAACTAATCAAGTTAGTCTAGAGATATTTTTAAACTAAACCAGGGATATGTGAATACTATAGTAATTACATGAAGTGTAAGTGTCTGGTCTTATTTTCTACAGTGTTTCGCTACCACACGGATGTCCAACAGACCTGTGCTAACAACCGCCACCAGTGCTCTGTTCATGCTATTTGCAAAGATTATCCCAATGGATTTTGTTGCAGTTGTATTGCTGGTTACAAAGGAAATGGCAGACAATGTGTAGCAGAAGGTAACTTTTTTGAAAATTAGGTGCATAAGCAGCAATTGCACATGGCATTCTTGAATGAGGCACCCTGTTTTCAATACTAAAAAAGACATGTGGTTAAATACTTCTTGAAAGACTTATCACTGAGATGTATTGAATGGTATTTTAAGAAGTGAGCTATGCTTTCTAAAACGGTGTGGTTTTCTGAATGAAGCAAATTATTTTAGGTAGTCAATTACATGCATTATGCATTTTAACATGACTTTCTAGAAAAAATAAACACTTACATAAATGATGTAATTTAATAGATAGCATAACATCCACTGTTCATTGCTAGAATTAGTCATGAAGTTCCAATGTGTTATAATCTGATTTGGTCCCACTCTAGAAATGGACAGTTCAAAGGGGAAGAACAAATTAGCTTTGATCATCAAAGTAAAGAGCATGGCTCCTCTCTGTCTGACTCTTAAGCTTCTTTACTAAAGGGCTAATCTGCCAGATTTTTGTTAGATACACATTTAAACTTTGTTCCCATGTAAAATCCATAAAGGAATTTCTTATGTATACACTTTTAATCCTCGTAGTGGCTTGACTCAAGAGTATAGATGCATTTCAACCACTAAAATAGCTGACTGCAGACTGTGTTTTATGAGGCAGGAAAGCAAAACCTGCTACTTAGCTTTCAGTTCATAAAATTGAATCTTCCACAGAAAGAAAAGAAGGATCTGATGATAATGGCATTTGAATTTGCACATAGGAAATTATATACAGAAGAAAACTAGTAATCCAAAGTAGCTACTTCTGTAAAACACGGACAGTTTTTAAATGGTCAATAGTTTCGAGTCAAGAAATAGAATAGGTTAGAATAATAGGTCAATTATTCTAACACCTATTGGTGTTAGCCTTCTAATAGGGAATGAACAAATTTACATTCAGTAGGTATTGATATGAAGTGTGAAGTGTGATCTTCAAAAGAAGTTTCTGTGTGCCATTTACTGTCAGAGAGACTGTAACAGCTTAGTCTGTTTATGGAGATATTCTTGCAGACAAAGTTGTTAATTAGGATAAAGGGCATCTCTTCAGGCAATTTTGGCCACTTAGTCATCTGTATAATGGCAACACACACACTTGCATGCACGTACGTACATACGTAAGCAAATTCACACACTGTTTGTAGGCAGTTTCCTGTCTGTTGAATTCTGTGAGCTTTCGTTTGCCATTTATTTCAACACTGATATCTTTGAACGTAGTGAATGCTCTGAACGCATTCCTTGGAGAGTATGTGAGAACTGTCATTTTGTTCTGATACATTGTATTGGTTTGCCAGGTTCTCCTCAGAGAGTCAACGGGAAGGTCAAAGGAAGAATCTTTGTTGGAAATAACCCCGTTCCAGTTGTATTTGAGAACACTGATCTCCACTCCTATGTTGTGATGAACCAAGGGCGTGCCTACACTGCTATTAGCACAATCCCAGAGACTTTGGGGTATTCGTTACTGCCTCTTGCCTCTATTGGAGGTATCATAGGATGGATGTTTGCTGTGGAACAGCAAGGATATAAAAATGGATTCAGTGTTACTGGTAATTTCTAAATTAAAATAATGTTCAAAAACTGTGCTATGCTTTCCTCTGTCTTGAGAGAAAAGAAATCTGTATTCAGAAGCAATATAGGATGAAAACATGTTTATTCTGAGCTGCTAATGGATTGCTTTAATCAAACTTCTCACCATTTTCCTTGTTTACAGTGTATAGATATTGGGCTTTTTATTTACCATCAGTGCACAAGCACCTAAGTCTGTTAGAAAGAAGAGTGGCTTGGCCAGTTCCTGTGCAAGAAAGAGATTATTAAAAAGGATCTGATTTTTGGTACTAGAGTGTGCAGAGCTACTGAAAAAAGCTGCCCCGACATCTACAAGAGGTCTAACATTAATTGCCTGATTGTACCAATGGAGCAAAAGAGAAATGAAAATCTGACCTCATGAAAGTCTGAAATTCTTAATAGAAGAAATTCCTCTGTGAGATGCAAATTATTCTGTTAACTTATTTGAGGGAAACCCCAGTTCACCATTATAGCTGTTCATGAGAGTCTGAGGCCAGATCTGGTTGGTTGTGCACATGAATTCAAGCTGTGGATCCAATCTGTTCTAGAAGAACATGTGTTTCTTTTTAAAAGTTTATCCTTTACAGCCCTGTACTATGAATTTAATCAAACACACCTTTTTGTTTTGGGGTTTTCTTGGATTTGGTGTGTTTGAAGTTTGTTCTGGAATTTACAACATACATTTCACTTGGTTTTGATTTGGAAACAGATGTACTGGATTTTTTTAAAAAATTTTTTTACAATGTACATCTCCTTTGCCATTTTAACTAGTAGGATAAGACCGACTATTATTAGCTTTGTTGGAGCTTTTTTTTTTTTTTTTAATTTAAAAAAGCCTGCTTCTTCAGGCTTAGTTGCAATTCAGTGTGTTCAGTGCTTAAGAAAAGATAGTTTCCTTGCAGTGTCCGAGGATGTTATCAGTATGTCTTTGAAAGTTATTTCTGTAGAAACCCAAAACATTAGCAATTATGCTGCATCAAAGCTTGCAGAAAATAGTAATTTATATTTTATCTACTAGAAGTAATACTTTGAATAGAAGGATTCAGAAACTGCTGTTAAGTGGTTTAACTAATACTGTTTCTTTAGGTGGCGAGTTTACACGGCAAACTGAAGTAACTTTTCTTGGCAACAATGAGAAGCTGGTTATAAAGCAGAAATTCAGTGGAATTGATGAGCATGGTCACCTTACCATCAGCACAGAAATGGAGGGCAGAATACCTGAGATCCCATCTGGTGCATCAGTCCATATAGAACCGTACACTGAACTCTATCACACTTCTAGCTCTGGTAAGGTTCCCTAAGAATGAAATGATAAGAAAGTGCACATTTCTCAGAGCAGAGAGTAAGACAGAAAATCTGAGAAGTGTTATTTTATTCCATTCTTAGCAAGTGTACTTAGGACCCTTTGATTTATAGAAAGTTGCTTCTTGCCTCTTAGGAACAGGTCCCAAAAGAAGGTGGATTTTGAGTGGGACCATGCAAATATTTCTAATCTTTTTATTGAAAAAAAATGGGAGTTTAACTTTCTCTGAACTGATGTTTGCAAAATGCTCTCGATTTCCCTTTCCATTGGCCTTATTTTTACACTGCTGATGGCAGTCATACAAGTTGCAATGCTTTTTGTAGGGTCCATAGCTTTTCAGTAGGAGCTGTACTGGGGTATACCTTCTTGTAGTAATGTCATTAAGTGGGCTTTGATCTTGTCTGATGAGACTGTGCAAATCAGTCATTTACCAGTATGTGTCTTGTAAACTGCGTTACAGTGACTGTGCATTGTGTTAGTAACAAGCATTTGTTAGTATTATTTGAGCTGAATTTGAACAACTGACCAGAAAATTAGGAACCTCTTAATTCCCTTTTCAGTTTCCACCATTGTCTCTTCAGTACTTGTCTCCTTTCTCTCTCTTCCTTGTCTCAGACTGAGATTTGGTAAGAGAGCTGTTCTTCATTTCACTATTTACAGGGGAATCTCCCTTCTTTTGCTTTTCTCTTCCTGGATAAAATTATGGGTGTTTCAGCACAGCAAAAACAAAGTGGGGTTTGAGGGTTGCTGCTGGCCACCAGCACAGCTGTCAAAGAGCAATAAAGACGAAGCAGCCTGTGGTGCACCCAGGTGCACACGAACACTGGAGAGAGTACACTTTGCTCCAAGGGTGCACTTTGATTGCTAGAGATAGCTGAAAAAGGTATAGTTGCATCATCACTGCCTTACCTCCACTAATGTCTGGCTTTGTTAGCCAGTGATGAACCCCTCTTGCTGCTTTGCCTGTTGGTATGGGCTGTGAGGAGGAGAAGCTGGGGACAGCAGGAAGCTTCTGCATTGCGCTGAACAACTTCAGAGTTTGGGAGGAGTTGTGTGGGCAACGTGTGCTCTGTAGAAATGGCAACCTCTTGGCAGAAATGCTGTCCCCATGGAAGAAAAGTCAGGAGCTGGAAGGAGGCATCTTTCAGGCTGGATTTGATTTACCAGTACTCAAACAGTTATTCTTCTGCTGTCCTATGGCATATCTGATAGACCATTACTTAGCAGCAATCCAGCTGTTGCCAGTGGATTGATACAGGTGTGTTCTGGTGTCCATATGAAGAATAGTGGAGTTCTGAGGAACTTTCTGTTGGTGGGAGGGTCCACAAGCCCAAATCTGCCTTGAAGAGTTTTGGTCACAATTTTTCACAATATAGAAAACTGTTGTGAAGCATACAAGAGCTCTCAGACATGCATCTTCTTCGTGACTCTGTCAAAATCCAAGGCCAATAGACCACAATGAACTAAAAGTGGGTGTAGTTTGGTGCTGGTAAGGTGGCTCTTGTCCTTCTTAGCTTATAGATGCATTATGTAAATTCATCTAAAGAAACCTCTGAGTTTCCTGAGTTGAATTTTCCTTTCTTTACCTGGTAACCCACAAAGTTAAATTTTTAAAATATGTCAAGATAAATTATATGACTCATTCCTCAAGGCTGTGATATCTGAGAACAGGGTAAGCCTAGTGAAGTGCCTATTCCTTTGCATGGAAATACATCCACTTTCATAGCTTCTTACCTTTGAAATTTATATTAACGCTACTCAGCCTGTATCCCAACTCTACAGATAGCATTGGGCAGAGTATTTTTGCTCCCTGTTCTGATCAGTGTGTTTGTTGCCATGTTGCAGTGATCACTTCATCGTCCACCAGGGAGTACACGGTGACAGAGCCGGAAAGGGACGGGATTGCTTCCACGTACATGGGCGCCTATCAGTGGCGACAGACCATATCGTTTGATGAATGCATTCATGATGACTCTCACCACGCTGCTTCTGCTACTCAGCAGCTTTCAGTGGACAGTGTGTTTGTCCTGTATAACCGAGATGAGCAGATTCTGCGATATGCTATGAGTAATTCCATCGGCCCAATCAGTGGTATGTATGAATTGGAAATCTTTCTTTTTCTCTTTTGTGAGTAATTAAGAGCAGGCTTCTATATTTTTTTTAGCCTGCCTTAGCTGGGTTAAATTAATGAGTTATATTATTTTGTTCATTAGTCTGGGTCTGTCAATTAAGAAGAGAAATGGGACTGTTCAAAGTTTGTATTTTCACTTGGGGAAGAGTATTTAAGTGATTATCTCCTCTTGAAATTCAGTGGAGTTTGTGTCTAATTCCTTGAAATACTCTCAACACACCACTTTGAATCTGTTGCTGCACAGATACATGGAGTGTATTGTTTATCTTTACCTAATTTATAGTTCCTCTGTTAATGATTTTTTTTTTTTTTGTATTATCAGTGCAAAGGGCAAAAGAGGGGAATAAGATTTGCCATTGAAACAGCTAGTTTCTATAATTTATTTTGAAACATGGCATTTTATCTTTGGAAGTTAGGTGGCCTACGAAGCGTATTTTTTTGGATGAGCTGTCCAAGTTTATTTGCACTAAAATCAGGAAAAAAGCCAACGGGCAGTTTGAAAATGCACACCAGATGAGTACAAGAAAAGACTGTGCTCACTTTTGTCTGTTACAAAGATAAAGTTCTACTAATTCAAATGAACAAACCAAGCTGTTAGGAATCACATTTTGGGTCTAGTGTCAGTAGCTGGAAGATGCATTGTCTTTGTCAGTCTTACTCTTTAAAGAGGTTTTTGTGGTGTCTCTATTTTTTAATGCAGCAGTCCTTTGCACAAGTAACAAGGAATACAGGTGCTATTGCCGTGTCTGAGATTCATGTCCTGCACATCACCTGCAAGTCCCCCTCTTCCTGGTACAAAAAGTATTCTCTTTCCTTGTTTCATGTGCGCTACAAGCAACCTCCTTCCGGGCCTTCTCTGAGTGCTGTTAGTTGGATAGAGTTGTTATGGCTAAATATGGTCTCTCTTGTCAGATGGTTCTGCTGATATTAACCGGAATCCTTGCTACACCGGTACCCATAACTGTGACACCAATGCGATATGCCGTCCAGGAACTGGAAATCGTTTCTTCTGCGAATGTTCGATTGGATTCCGTGGAGATGGAAACGTTTGTTATGGTATCATAAAACTTTCATTACAAAATGACAGCTAATGTAGAATTTGTTTTGCTTGGAATGTATTGACCTCCAGCAAAATGAACTGTCCTGAGGGGCTGGTTTTGGGAAAGATAGATTAGAGGATGCTGGGGTAGCTGACGTATCTCAATAATCAATGTAAGCAAGTTTGACTGTCTTGAAGGGTCAAACTTGGGTATGTTTCGCTAGCTTGCAAAGCACCTTTCCTACCCAGTTTGTCTTTTCATAAAACCTGTGGGAACTTAGCTGTGAGAAATTTACTGTAATGCAAGTTCTGGTTAAAATGAGTCAAGTCAGTTAAAAATTCTTGAAGGACATGAGGAATGGCATATGTACGTACGTACAGAGCACAGATATGTGGAACCCATTGAAATAATCTTTTTCAAGGTCTGCTTTGAAAATCCCTTCAGTTCAAGGAGGCTTTTATTTCCTAGCTCTGTACAGCTCTGCACTCTTGTTGTATTTGGGTTTTGGTTTATAATAAAATCGCAGCACAAATACTTATTTTCAAGAGGTGAAAGTGTGTATTGATGAAATATGCATCATCCCTATTAGTTAACGGAGTTGGTTTTTTTTAATAAAAACACCCAAAACACAACCCTTCCCCCCACTCCAGCCCTTAAATCAACTTGCAAATGAAAACAGCAGCATTACAATGTCCCTCCCAGTTGCCTGGTGCTGTGAGTTGAGCAGCAGTGGATTAGAGATGTATATGGATAATGAAAGGGGAAGCCTTTCTTAAAGTTCATGCTCCCCCAGTAGTCATTACTGCTTCTGATCACCTTGTAGGCTGTGTTTTCTTTCTCTGTGGCTCCTCCTTCCTCTCTGATTCCCTGTCCCTTCCCCTTATTACTCTGTTATAGAACCTCTTCTGGGGTTGGTTTTTTTTTTTTTTTTTTTTTGGTGCAGACTAGCTGAGGACACAGTTACTTGAAAACTTATTTTCAGGTTACTAATATCCCTTAAGAGGTATGATCTATCCAAGATGTGGTTTAAAGACGCAAGCCTGCTATTTTTCAGCAGTTGCACAGTTTCTGTTTTTCTGGCATCAGTATTAAATGCATCTTTGTAATAACTGGAATCCTTATAATATTCTAGATGTTGACGAATGTTCAGAGCAACCAGCTCTATGTGGCAGCAATGCAGTCTGCAATAACCAGCCAGGAACCTACCGCTGCGAGTGTGTTGAGGGATACCAGTTTGCAGCAGATGGGCAGACTTGTGTCGGTGAGTTTCACATTTCTTATAAAAGCACTGCCCACCAGCTCCCAGCTGTGAGTCATCTCACATAGACGGAAAACAGGGCTTCTAGGATCTGCGCTGACTTCTAATGTGAATTGAGTTTAGGGATTCATGCAGCAGGTAGTAATTACAATCCATTAGGTAACCAATGAAGGTGCCTAAAGTACTTTGTTTTCATGTCATAAAAATTCCCCATTCCAAATGTTTCCAAATAGAAAGTGGAAATGATTATTGAATGCTTCTGTCCTTTCTGTACCATTATTTAGCTGTAGTAAAGAAGTAAAATTTAAATTAGTAAAAGAAGAAGAATTAAAGTGAGCCATTATTAATCTGTTGGTATTTCACAGCATCTCACTTTCAAGATGAGGTAGGGCTTTTCCTGCACTTTCTGTAGTCCTGTGCTTTGGCTTTTGGGGGTTTTGGGTTTTGTTTCTTTCTTGTATCTAATCCAGAATTAGATTTAACAGATGAGATTTTAGTTACACATTCATCCCTTGGATAAGGCAGTGCACAGGTCTAAACCAGTGTGTCTTGGCTATTGCAAGCTTATTCTGAAGTGGTAGTTAATCATGCTGAAAGGGAATTACAAATACAGATCATTTCACTGTTAAAATCTTTGAGATGTGGAGGAAATCTAGCTCGTTTGTTAATGGACCATTAAAACTTCAAACTCAGTAGTTGTCACTGAATTGGTTATTTTTATTTACTTTAGAAACTTTTCTGGAGGAAGCCTGAGTTCATCTGTACTTGCTGGAATAAGGTTGCCCTAATGAGGGATATTTTTTCCTGTTTGCTCTGTTTTTCAGTAAAGTTGTAGAAATTCCATTTGGTAGCTGGCAGAATTGCAAGGTGATTGTGTGGGATGTGTACTGAAAGTGAATTGTCCATATAGAAAGAAAAACCACGAGCTTTACCCTTGAGAACATTAAGCTGATTCTTTTGGGTGTCATTTATATTCCAAACATCAAAAGTAAAATAAAAAAATCTAAAAATGGCAAATAGAAGAGGGGTAATGACTCTACTGCTAGAGCTGCAACTGTCAGGATAGGATATAGATTATATATATA